TATTGTATTGTATTGTATTGTGTTGAGGTCAATCTCTTAGTTATTCCTGTGGAGCTCAAGTTTGTTAGTTAATAGCGATACCTTAATGTTGTCTGAAAATTTTGACCTTGATTATTTCCGTGACCTTAAATTCCGTTGTTTTCGCTCCAAATTCTCGAAGAGGTGCAGAATCTTCTGAACGCTACAGAGCAAATAAAGAAAGGATTACTTTATCAAGGTATTGATCTAACGGTATCAAAGACTAAAGAAACATTGAAGTGGCGATTTCTTTCAATGAGCCACAAGAAGAGTTAGGGCCAACTCCACAAAGACTGTTTGCGCTGTGGATTTTTACACTGAAATTAAAACTGAATGTGTTCCCGTCGTATTTCCGTTTAGGTACGTTAATTTCTTCACTTCGAAATTCGTGAAGATTTTTCTCGTCATTTTCGTTTGTAGCAAAGTGATTTTTTCTACAATCCGCGTTCATTCAGTTGCGTTACGTGACTTCCTGCCCTCCTCATAGAACCTCAATCATTAAGCCGGAAGTTACGGCGTTGGAACATTACACTTCCGTGTCGTTGACTTCCTTTTGAGATCATCTACCAATAGCTCACGTACACGAGAGCTGGTATTTAGTCTCCTCCGTTTAGAGGAAATAAAGGATTCATGTTCAAAAGAGTCGTTACACAATCACTGAAGACACCAAGGAGGAAAGTGTAATCAAGTTCTAGTTTGTGTTGTCTGGAAACAGATCGGAGACATGCTGGCTTATGTTCTTCTCCTCTGTTATTTGATCACCACCACCACCGCTCTATCTGGTAGGTTGAGATACTGGTTCGGTATAATCAATTGTGAAACAGTTTAACTCTATTTAGTGGTCATCCCTGGAGACGGGCGGGATAATTACTTAATAGAGGCTCTATAGAATATGGGTCAAACCCGATAGGTACCCCACTTCATGCCATAATTAATCACTTGATGCACAGTTTATTCAAAAGCTCTCTAAGTTTTTGTTTTACTCTTTGTTAATAAACAACATCACCAAAATGTTTGCGTAGCGTGAAAATGGGGTATTGAAACAGAGTTACTGCGTGATCTTAGTACCCAATATTTGGACCTCTAGGTGTTAGCTGGCAAATGATAACATACCGACCATGAAATACAGGGTGACCACTTAATTAGGGTTACGCGTAATAGAGGTTCGACTGTAACTTGTTGAAATACGGTCAAGGAGAAATGCATTTCCTGTTTTAAGCAGATTATTAGTTTTATTAAGTTAAATACCCAAGCGCCGTCGTGTGGAGTTGTGGTCAAAATTTGGGAACGCATAACAGGGAAGTTAATCCCCAATGAACAATCACTACAGTTCAAGAGAAAGATCCCTAGAACTACAAATTATGCGATTTTTCAGTAAACAGAAAGAAAAAAAAACGATTTGAAATTGCCCCTATCTTCTGAAGTTTGAATGGCAGTGAGTTTAAACATATCCCCACCAAAGTAAACTGATGCCCGTAGTCTTTCATCTTTAAAATTTCATTTCTGAGATGAAACATCACTTCGCTAGTGGTAGGTTTAAGGACTTCCATGCAAATAGGATGCTTGTTTAGCTACAGGTAGAAATGATTATCATTATAACATAGCTTGTAAATTCGTGCAATCAAATTCAATTACGCTAGCGTCGCTGGTGACGTCAGAAAACAAATGCCTTGCAAAAAATTTTTTTTCTTGCGAGCGACTTCAGCATTTTTCAAACGGGAAAAACATCCGCTAAAAAGTTAAACTAGACATGGCAACAAGTGAACAAGCCGATGAAGATCTGGCTACTTTTTCTTTGGGAATGGAGTTTTTAACTCTTGATAAAGAACCCAAAGAAAGGGAAAACAGAAAACAATCAACGCCAGTTTCATCTTGTTTCGAAATTCTAAGTTCAGTTACACGCATGAATTTCACCTTTAAACCAATCTGAGACGAGATCATTGAAGCATAGCGAAACACTTTTCCGAAACAAAATAAACAACGCATCGGAGCGTAGGAGTGAGAATTTCTGCCCTTTTTACATTAACTACAACGTTGAAAATGTTATAAAACAATTGGTTCATGTGTCAGCTGTGCGTTCATCGAGAATTCAAGCACTTGGGAAGTTTGAAGAGCACTCAAGAAGCTAGAGTTGCTCTCGGCAGCGCCTCGAGCAACTCTTACGCATCTTTCGTGCTCTCCAAACTTTGCCCGTGCTTCACTTCTCGGTACACGAACGCTGATACATGAACCAATCGTTAAGCGTGCTGATTTTCATTTTTAGACGAAAATTTTGTGGGTTTATTGTCCAGGTTGGTCGAATTAATATTTTCCTCGGACACTCGCAGTAGGAAAACACTAATGATTCGCAACAAAATTTCCAATAGACTTAGTTTGTTCTTTCGATTTCTTTCATAAAGCCTGAAGTACAGTTATCACAATTTGAGTAAGTTAAAGAACAAGAAACTACTCCGACCTAACGGGTACCAATTACTATAATTCTTAAAAGGAAAAACATGGACGAAATATTTACTGATAATTTGTTCTGTACTAGTTTGTTTGTTTGTTTGTTTGTTTTTTCGAAATGGGCCCTACTTTATTCCTATTTCATCAGATGAAACTAATTAATTGTCGCACTTTACTGATCGCGGTCATGTAGCTTAGTAATAGAGCACAGGTGAATTTTTCGCTTTGAAGGGGCAGACAATGAGTTGTCGTTTATCTTGCGCAAACAGTCTTTTCCCTCCCCAATNGTTCTGATGAAAACAAAAAAGTTTTCGAGGTAGCTGAGGTAGAAAAAGGATACAGGCTCGTTGATCTAAAGAGCTTCTCTTCTGTGCTCTCAACTTTACACAAATGCGAAGAAGGTGAGAAAAATATCACACATCATAAATATGCTTTTCAGCCCCTTGAACCTAAAGAAAAACGATAGTTAGAATTATTTGCAGAAAAGGAGTTTTATTATTGTTTAATCATTTTTTCTGATCTTTCTTCACTGCAACACTTGTACACATTTATGGAGGTGTGAACTAATGCTCCAACATTGTGGTTCTGTTTGGTTCAGTAACTATAGCTAATAGCATCCTTTTCCGTCATGTTTTTAATATAGGAGACCTTACTATTGAAGAAAATACCGCTAGCCGTTATGGACTGATGTCAGATCTCTCCATTCACTGCAATTCTTGTGATGAAAGTACTCCTTGGCAGACATCACCCAACCTTGCCAAGAAAGGCAAATCATTTGATGTCAACCGGAGAGCTGTCTACCACTCAATAGAAACTGGAAGTGGCTACGAGGGACTCTCTTCTTTCTGTGCGATAATGAACATGCCTTGTTTGTCAAGAGCTGCTTACTACAAGCAAGTTGATGTAATTTTGGAAGCACTGGAAAGTGAAGCAAAAGAAGAACTAAAAGGTGCAGGCCAAAGGCTCCGAAAGCTAATCATGGAGGAAAATGGCATCTCAGACAGCACCACAATAATTGATGCTGCTGTTAGCTTTGATGGCACTTGGGCCAAAAGAGGTTTCACATCACTAACAGGTGTTGTTTTCGTCATCTCAATTGACACAGGAGAAGTTTTAGACTATCACGTGATGTCTAAATCTTGCCGTAAGTGCTCCCTAAAGAACTCACAATGTGAAGGGAATGTGGAAGAGTTTGAAGAATGGAGGAGGGAGCATGTTGCATCTGGAGATTGTGACATCAACTTCGAAGGCAGTTCACCTGCTATGGAAGCAGAAGGAGCTTCTGTTCTTTGGAATAGATCCATCGAACTTCATAACATGAGGTACAAATGGATGGTGTCAGACGGGGACAGTAAGGCCTTTAACACTGTTCAACATGCCTATGATGACTGTGAAGTTATTAAACTGGATTGTGTAGGCCATGTGCAGAAAAGGATGGGCAAACATTTAATGAATTTGAAGGCATGCAGTAAGGGTAAACTTGCTGATGGAAAACCTATAGGAGGGCGTGGCCGGCTTACAGAAGGAAAGATCAAGCAGCTTCAAAGGTACTATGGCCTAGCAATCCGGCAAAACACCTTGACCAAGGCAAATCCCTCTGAACGGGAGGTTGACATTGCAGTTTATGCTATGAAAAAAAATATTATTGCCATTCTCCATCACTGTGTAAATTCAACTGACAATGCTAAACAACACCATCATAACATGAGGTACAAATGGATGGTGTCAGACGGGGACAGTAAGGCCTTTAACACTGTTCAACATGCCTATGATGACTGTGAAGTTATTAAACTGGATTGTGTAGGCCATGTGCAGAAAAGGATGGGCAAACATTTAATGAATTTGAAGGCATGCAGTAAGGGTAAACTTGCTGATGGAAAACCTATAGGAGGGCGTGGCCGGCTTACAGAAGGAAAGATCAAGCAGCTTCAAAGGTACTATGGCCTAGCAATCCGGCAAAACACCTTGACCAAGGCAAATCCCTCTGAACGGGAGGTTGACATTGCAGTTTATGCTATGAAAAAAAATATTATTGCCATTCTCCATCACTGTGTAAATTCAACTGACAATGCTAAACAACACCGCTTCTGTCCACCAGGTGATTCATCATGGTGCAAATGGCAACAGGACCAGGCAACAGGAACCAGTACCTACAAAGGAGATGACTGTTTGCCCGAAGTCTTCGTGGAGACTCTAAAACCCACATTTGTGTCATTAAGTGACAGTAAACTTTTAGAAAGATGTGTACGAGGAAAAACCCAGAACCCAAATGAAAGCATCAACGCAATGGTTTGGGTCCGGTGTCCCAAACATAAACACCATGGAGTGAAAGTTGTCCGGTGTGCTGCTGCGTCTGCAGTCTGCCACTTCCACAGAGGTGCAGAAAGCAGAGAAAGATTGATGGAAAGGCTTTCAATTCCTGGAGGTGCATTTACTGAGGATGCATTTCGACTAAGAGATAATTCAAGGCTTCGGAAAGCTGATAAGCAGGCAACGGCCAAGGAGAAGAAGCGCCGGCAGGGATTGCAGCTTATCCGTACTCAAAGAGAAGCGGCTCTTCGTGAAAAAGAAGATGTTTTATATGAAGCTGGGGCATTCTAACTCTTGCTCTTGCCTATCCTAATTATATTTGAACTTATGGCTACTCATTGACTTCATAATTTGAATACAGGAGGTGTTTAATTTTAAAATCTTGTAACTTTAGGCCTTTTTTTCTCAAAACGTATTTTTTAATACTTGAGAAAAGATTACTCAAGAAGTATGAGAGCTATGGACCTGAAATTTTTAGGGATTGCTGATCTAATTGAGTTATTTGGGATGAGTGAAGGAAAATGCCATAGAGGTCTTTCTAAAGAAATGATTAAACAAATAGTGATCATGTGTTAGATGTGTAACTTGACACCAGTGCTGTGATGTCAAATTTAAAAAATTCTTGAAATCCTTCACTCATCCCAACAAGTATTCAATATTGTTTAGAATAACAGCAAAATATTGGTATTTCATTGAAACAGTTTCTAACAATCTTTACTCAAGTACATATAGGTGAGACACTACAAGTTGTTAATTGAAATGACCGGTGTCAGGTTACATTTGCTGCAGGTGTGACATAACACCTTTTTTTGAAAAATATAGTTCATAAGCTTTCCAGTGATATATAGTTTTAGATAGTTGTGACCAAAACTTAAATTCCTACAATTATTTGAAAAAATGCACTTTTTTTAGGTAGAATCCCCCCTTAAAGGCGGGAAAACGCTAATGAGAAAATCGCAATAGTTTTCATTTTTACATCTGATTGGTTGGGGGATGGCGCGAGTTTTCTGGACCAATCACAGAGCGAAGTTAAGTAAAACCACACAAATTTCGGATCTGACTTTCGACACCCAATTGAAAATTAAGATCACATGGTTTAAGGGACCAGTCATATTCTATCCCCTACGGGGGAGGGGGTTGGATTTTGGTTGTGACACGGTAAAACTTATCTGATCTCCCCAGAAAGCTCTGACATTCCTTCGATCCCAGTCCCCACTCATCGGCAATCAGTTTTCTATAGTTCTCTCTTTATTTCCAGATTGCTGTCTTCCGATGGATACGGGACCATGCTTTGCTTTATTTGGTCGCCATTACTATGATAAAGTCACCAAGAAATGCAAGAAATTTAACTACGGTGGGTGTGCTGGAAACGGAAACAACTTCACCTCTAATGAGAAGTGTGAGAAAACGTGTCAGGGTGTTCAGTGCTAGAGGATTAATTGCTGAGAAGATACAGTTTACCTTGGTAAGCCATGTTTTAACAATTGCTATCCTTCTATACACAATTACAACAGTGCACATTATATTCCCCATCAGAAGCATATAACCACATAAATCAGCAAGTGGCTGTTTTTTCCTAAGTGTCAATTTTCGACTCGTTCAGTAGGTTTGTTTGATTATGGCACGATTCCATAAGAATAGTTATCACGTTGAGAGGTTCAACCTACAATCAGACAAATCGAGGCCCTTGTTATCAATCATTTCATTTGAGAAGTGTAGAAGGATATGATTAAATGGTGGATTTAAAATAATTTATAACATAAGTTATACACTCATTTTCATTGGTTCTTACTTATAGTCTATATTTGGGAATATACGCCTGGATGACGTCACCATAAACAACATTTTGCTTCGTTATTATATAAAACAAATAAATTCCATGTTGCGATGGGTCTACCATGATTTACTGATTGTTCGCCTCTATATTTCAGGGCTAGGGAAGAATTCTGAGGAACTTAATACTTCTAGTGTAATTAAATTATTTACCTTAAGTTCTGTGAAATAAAGATGTCTTCAGCTAATGACCATTGTTTGATATTTATTAGTTGTTCTAGCTATAAAACCATTGCCTCGAAACAATCCACCAAATATTGTACTTTTGCTGTTTTGTTTTGCGCAAAAATTTCTCAATTTCATTAATAATCTGCAAAGCTTTACTAAAAATTCTTTTTTTGCTAGACATATAGCACACGAGTGGAAGGTGCTTTAAATACGCGCGCGCTGATCGGCTGGTTCGGACTACAAACTGCACTCCCCCTACAGCCTTGTGCGATTTTGTTGTCTTTGAAAAATTCACTTGTGCTTATTAACACCAAATTGCATGAGAAATCATGTTATTACTTTTACAAATAATAATGTCTTGTCATCCTAAACAACACCACGACTTAACTTCTGTCCTTTCTGATAACACACCCCATGGCGGTCTCTGTGACGGAAGTAAACGTATTGCCAATTTAACTCACCACGTGTCTGCGTTTGTGCTCAGAACTTCCTTTCGAAAGTATGCGTCAGTCAAAGCCTACACCGGAAGTATATTGTGCGGCTTCGAAAGCTGAAATGAGGAAATACCGTATCATCGATAAAGGAAGATAGATCTTTTCCCTCCGTATTGTGATTGCAGACACTTCGGAGTTGAGTTAATACAAATACCTCTGTCTTCTTGCACCATGCTGGTACATCTGTTTCTCTGTTGTTTTCTAATTGTTACTGCAACTACGAAAGGTAAGAAAATATGATTGCTTCATATTTCTTCTTCTGTTGCTACCATTGTCGAGGAAATTAATATGATATCTGTATTGTTAGCTTAACAAGTCATTCCTTGTCCATAAAACAGAAACTCCATCACTGCGATCAATCGAGCCAGGAACAAAGAGAGACAATTCGGCGTGTATGTAAATTTTTCTCAGATAACCATTCAACGACTTACTTTAAACTGATAAACAGCGTTTTAGCTTGGAGCAGCTGACGCCACTGCTTGAAGAAATTTCCCGTAACTCCTATGTCATTTAAGGTGCAAGACAGTGAAGATTAATTATTCAGGTAATTCTATTCCTCATCTGCCGAGGAAACTACGTTGAAGGGTTAGGATATTTTCAGAGCTGTCGGAGTTCAGTACATCTGACGTTCAAATACATCATTATACAGCTGGGTTCGTTTAGTAACTTTGAATATTTATATCTATGAATGAATTCTTTTTAGACTCGGCGCCAAGAAGTTTCTGTTGTCTCCCTAAGTTCACAGGACCGTGCAGGGCCGCTTTTATGCATTACTACTACGACAAAGTCACTAAAAAGTGCAAGACATTTACCTACGGCGGATGCATGAACAATGGAAACAACTTTAGAACCATTGAAGAATGTCAGAACACTTGCCGTGAAACAAACTGCCCGTCAACCGAATAGTTTCCGGTAAGCGACAATTTTGTTATGAATTCGTTCCGTGTTAATGATGCGAGGTCACGCAACATTAAACTAAACATAACTGACACTAAATACAACGCTCATTTTTTTTTTTTTTTTTTAACATTTCTGATGAGCCTTTATCAAGACGTATATTCCTGTTCAGCACTGGTATATTTTATGGTCCTCTTAACCCTAACTAAATCTAGAAATTCATTTTCGTCTCAGGTACTAAGGGTTTCCCTATGAAGATTTAGAAGGAGACGGACAAGTTCCGTCACATTCACATTGGATGGATTTTTAGAAAAATAACTCGGAAAAACCTTACTTGAAGTTGCTGATTCCATTAACAGATACGATGAGGAATGTAGCAATCATTTCTGTACACTAATGCATTGATTATTATATATTTACAAAATTATCATTTCTATAAAGTACCTAAATCAGATGTAATTAAAACTCATTTTATATCATTTGTAAAATTAGCGTACCTTGTTTCTTTTACATTTCTCAATGAATGACACAAATATTTGGAAAGTGTGAGTTTGAGACAACTGCCTCACGATGCCTTCAAGATATTGCTCTGCCATTCCTACGCACTTTGGTCCGTGGCTAGTTCACAAATGCGCCCGAAAATAGATTTCTGTCCTTGTTTGATTCTGAGTGTACACAAATGTCTTCTGCTGAAGTTCTTGTCTGTGGTTGCTTCTTTCATGATGCTGTTTCCATATCTTTGTTTTACGCAAAACTCTGCAACACTAGTATTGACAAATGGTAATGAATTATTACAAAAACGAAATTTGTGAAAGTACATTTAAAGGCGGGAGCGGAAAATGGAAAGCGTCTGACTGATGAGAATTGTCAAAGCATAAAATGACACTATGTTTGATGCTTCTTCGTCAGAAAAAAGACCAGGAGCCATCGGATAAAGGAATACAAACAGAACACAGGAAATGAAGTCAGTTTGTGAGCTCAGTGAGACTTTTAGTCATCCTTCCACTCTAGGTGGTAGTGCAGATAAAAAATAAAAACAAGAGTTTAATGCTTCACACGTGACTCCCAGAAGTGATTGGCACGTAACTTCTCCCAATAACATCCATACATTATCCAGAAAACAAGTAATGAGAATACACAAACATCAGCTATCTTGATCTAAAACCAAATTTTTGTAACTTGTTTAAAAGGAAATGTTTAGCAGCTGAAGGAGAGAATCAAAATAAGATCTTCAGAGTAAACAAGTAGTCTATCAAAACATTTGTGACACTTTCCCTCTCTGCCCATCCCTTCCCCCCATGATATAATTATCCTGTACCTTTTAAGTGTTTTCCTCCATTCTAATGGCCACTGAGACATCATCTCTGTCATGACCAAGAAAAAGACAAATGAATATTGCATATGTGAGTTGATGACGAAGAGATATCTTAACAAGCCACTCTCCATCAACACCACTCTCCATCAACACCACTCTCCATCAAAGAGAATAAACTGGTACCTGCAAACTGTCAGGGAGACTTAACAATAAGACGGGAGTTGTTTGTGTTCGACTATCATCCCATCTAGGTAGAGTAAATGCCGTCATAGTTGTTTAGATTCTACACAAATAAGGGATAAGAACCAGCAATAACCTCTTAATTAAGTAATCTACCCTAATAAAGCTTGTATTATTTACCATAACTTATAGATTGTTCGGATTCTTCTTGACCATCATGCCCATTATTGTCATTGTCATCATCGTCGTTATTGTCATTGTCATCATCATCATCATCCTCCTCCGCATCATCATCATCATCTTCCTCATTGCCATCATCATCATCATCATCATCATCATCATCATCATCATCATCGTCATCATTTCCATTGTCATCACAATTTCTGCTACAATTGTCCTCATCAGTATGATTTTCATCATTAACACGATCCCCACTGATATCACTGCTGCCACTAGCCTTGCAATCCTCACCACTTAAGATCTTCTCTTTTCCTATACATTCCAAGTCTGAAGCTTCATCTCTCTCAACAATACATTTTCCAGGGTCTGAAGTACTCTTCACATCAATAAAAGTGTCACATTTGGACCTTTTATTTAATCCATTTTGACTTTCAATTTTGTTTCTTTCTAAACTACCATCATCAGTTTGTATGTTTAAGTTACAACAATCTTTAGTGCTGATTACCACACTCTCCATGGATTCTGCATTTCCATAGCCAGTTATTTTAAATTTCTTCTGTTTCATTTGTGAGTTCTTTTCATCTATTTTCCTTTTCTTTCTCCCTTTCTTACATTCTGCTTTAAAAACAAGCTCCAAGAATCTCCAGCATGTATCCTTTTTAGTTTCATCATCAATTTGATCCAGGACATGTCCAATATCGTCAAATTCTTCACTTCTCTCATGCTTGACTTGTTCTTCTAATAGCTGTTTGAACTTCTCTTCAGTCAAATGAAGGATCTTCAACCAAACATGTTAAAAAATTTGAGAAATGTTAAAACAGGTAATACATAATAGTGCCCTGTACATAACAACAAAAGAGTATTTGATCATGTAGTGTGATTTCCTAAGTAAGTGTAATCATGAGAAGGACTGTAGTCAGTAGTCATGACTGATGTTTCAACAACCTGCGTGGAAGTCATCATCAGAGTCAAATGAACAGTTGTTGTCTGTCCAGTGTATTTGTCAGTCCAGTCTGATTCATGTAAACTGATTGAACAGTTTAGCTGTGATGTTATTGGCTGTAAGACTCAAGTGGCATACGTTGGTCATGATTGGTCAGAGTTTATCATATACAGAACAATTATCTTTCCTCCTGATCACTAATTAGGTAAAGCATTTGGATTTCTCACTCTCAGTGTGGCGTACAAATCTGGACCAAAGTGTGAACAACCCTCTCGTCCAAAGAGGAACAAGTCATCCTTGGTAGCCACACCCTGCCAAAATAAGAAGCTGTGATGTCATAACAATGGAATTTTAAAACAAACACCACAGAGCTACAAATGATAGATGACATTTCTGCAGAGGGAGATAATCCATATAGAGAGGTGGAAAAGGTCCCTTTACAATTTCACCGAGCATGATCTTGATGAAACAACTTGAATAGATTACAAGATTGAATATTTTTCCAAACTAATTTTATGCTGCACTAGCAATATCATCACAACTGAAACATGAGGGGGCTAAGGTTTTTTAACTCCCCCCCCCCCCCCCCTCATCCCAGTGCTTTGACGCCAATTATTTATTGGATGTAATTAAATTCCTCAGGGTGTTGATGCCATGAGAGACGGGTCCTAATAAAATTGCTTACTGTTTCTTCCATGAACTCAAGCTTAGAGTGAAAGATTCCTTTCTCCTGTTGAGATTGACTGTCCTTCATTGCCCCAATAAATGCACTGATGGGTATCTCTACCTTTAAAATAAAACATACCAGTAATTATCTCAAGATCATTCCTCTCACAATGTAACAGTGAATATCAAATGAATGTCTCACCATGTCATATGGATTTGGTAATTCTTCCTCCACAAATCCATAGGACTGCAACAGGTGACAGTTGGCAAGCTTACCATAAGTATTAAAAATTTCCTGTCCCTGAAATAAGACACACAAGGAGACTTATTGCAGAATTGTCACACAGTAGTGGCTACGAAGTTGACTTGAAGCGTGGGGAAGTACTCCCTTACAAAGGGATTTCTAGTAATGTTCAGCACCTCCACCCTTTGAGCCTTAAGAGTGATTAGCATCCAATTTCCCCTTACAATATCACCACTGAATCTCACATAGAGGCCACAAGAATGCAGGAAATGATCACCAACTTAAGAAGCTCTTAATTGTAACCAAATTCTCCTTGTCAGCATCTTAGAGATGTACAGAGCAGAGTATGGAGAATATGCAAATTGCTCTTAGGGTTAAGCCCAATTTCACAAACAAACACCAACCACAAAGTGCCACAAACACAGTTTAAATTCACTGACACTGATTTTACCTTTAGAATATCTTCTGTTGCCACCATTGTCAAGGTTTCAGAACCAAACTCCAAGTGAGCATTATTGTTGCTTATATGATTAAGTATGTCTGCCATTGGAACCATGGCAGGAGCTGCGTTATTATCCTCCTCATCATCATCGTCATCATCATCATCATCACCATCGTCATCATCATCATCACCATCGTCATCATCATCATCAGGGCTCGACTTTTGTTCACTGAAACTGTAGGCCATGACAAATGCTGCCATATGTTTATACAGAGAAAGAGTATGACAGGACTCGCTATAACCAAAAAGGAAATGAATTACATTGTTTAATTTTTTAGTGAAACACACCATGACAATTTTCTTAAAATGGGAAAAGGGTTTCAAATTCACCAACTTCCCCTCTCCTTTACAACACAGTCAGCAATCTTTGATAATTTTGATGCCTGCTTCATACAAAACCTTGTATATTGCCTCAAGGTACTTTAAGCTTATTAGTCTTGACCAAAAACAAGCAGGGTTTTATATGCAGATGGAAAGGGGTGAAGCCCAAAAAAACAGGGGGGAGGGGGGTGAAAGAGAGGAAAGAAAAGTAAATGGTGGCTTCATGTGGGTCAAGCTCCACTGATTGGTTCCATTCCTTATAAGAACTCAGACTTTGTTTTGTTTCACTCATCCGTGCAAACTAAAAATTGACACCTTTCTTCAATTTTTTTTTTACTGCAACTACAGTTCCAAGCTTTATACCTGAAATACTGTGGATACTTCTTAATAAAAGGCAAAGCTGTGGTATTGTATTCCTCCTCAATGCCCTGCACATCATTTTCAACATCCTCCTCAATCCCAGTCCCTTGCAGTTCTCTTTTTCTCTCTTCTACCTCCCAAAACATGGGTTGGTCCAGGACTGTCACATCGGGCACCAGGTTTAAATATGGTTTCCAGTGAGATGTTGGATTAGTGTACTCATACATGAGTGTCAGGAGAAGAGGAGCCCAGGCAGACCTGCAGGATGTTATTGGGTAATTCATATTAAGTAATTAAAGTAGAAGCAGCCCTGCTGAGTGGTGAGACTGTCGGATCATTTACATTTATTTAACAACTCAATTGATAAAACCAAATTATCTTGTAGTACCCCAACCAATGCAACATCACAGTTTCTTTAGAAACTTACCCCCTATCTTAACATCATGTTTGACTCAGATTATTTCTTTCAGGTTATTTGATTGCATGCTGTTATTCAGCATCGTGAAGTGGGCCACATGGGTAGTTGTATTGATGACAGATTTAATTATCCAAAGTCACACCAACAATCTCATTTTTGGTATTCTCTTTCTCTCTCCTTCCTTCACTACATCACCCTATTGAATCAACAAGACACAAGATGATCCAACTTCTCCCCCACCACCACAAAAAAAAAACAAAACAAAACAAATAATAATAATAATAATAACAATAATAATAACACACCCTACGTTATTCTCACTAACATTAGGTGAAATGTTCATTACCCTCTTTCTGATTTAAATTCGTCCTCTTCAAAAAGCTTTTCAAAAATCTTGGAGATGGATGAAGTTTTCGGCTGCAAAACAAGTGACCGTGGAATTTGAAACAAGCACTCTCCCTCATCAATATCTTCCACAGCTATCATGCCATAACGATGACATGACCCTTTCAGTGCAACCTTCACCTGGAGGCAAAAAAAAAAAATTAAGAAACAGCGGCCCTAATTCTCTGCACTGTTTCCTTTCATCTTCTATAATTCTAAATCTGATCACAAGAAATCTGATAGCAACAAAGCCAATGGCCCAGATAAATTGCCTACTACTCTACTTAAGATAACTGCATCAGAAATAGCTGAAGTTGTTTCTTTCTTTTTCTCCCAATCATATGAGTCAGGTCAACTCCCCAATGACTGGAAAAATGCTTATGTAGTACCAGTTTTTAAGAAAGGTGACAAACATGACCCGTGTAATTATTATATAGACCTGTTTCCCTTACTGCTGCATTATGTAAGATCATGGAACATATTATTTATAGGCACATTATGCACCATCTTGAGGACAATGACATCTTATTTGCGAACCAACATGGATTTCGAAAAGATCATTAATGTGAATCTCAATTGATTCTGACTGTTGAAGACCTGGCCAAGAACTTAGATCATGGAGATCAAATGGATATCATCATTCTGGATTCCAGTAAAGCCTTTGACAAAGTTCCCCATCAACACCTCATCAGAAAATTGCAGTTTTGTGGCATTCAGGGAAGCACCCTTACTTAGATTAAATCTTGGCTCACTAGTAGATCTCAAAGTGTCATAATTAATGGCGTGAGTTCAAAATCTGTTGATGTGACTTCAGGGGTACCTCAAGGCACGGTACTTGGTCCATTAATGTTTTTATTATTCATTAATGATGTGCAAAATGGGCTAGGATGTACACTAAGATTGTTTGCTGATGATGCTTTATTGTATCATAAAATCACTCATCATGAAGACACCTTGGCTTTACAGCAAAACCTAGACAAGCTAGGCCAATGGGCTAATAGGTGGCAGATGCTATTCAATCCTTCTAAATGCTACAAAATGTCTGTTTTCCGTAGTAGATCCCCGGTTGTTAAAGACTACACTCTTTACAACCAAACCCTGGTATCTGTTCGACAACATCATTATTTAGGTGTTTTGCTGTCTAGTGATCTGCGGTGGAACACTCATGTGGACAAGATTGCTAAAAAGGGGAACTCTTCACTTGCGTTTGTGAAAAGGAACTTGTATGCCTGCTCTGAAGAAACTAAACGTGCAGCTTATGTATCACTTGTCAGGCCACATTTAGAGTATGCGTCTGCAGTATGGGATCCTTATAGACAGAATCAAGTGGAGAAACTAGAAGCTATCCAAAGTCGCGCAGTGAGATTTATTAAACATGATTATAGTTATAACACCAGCGTGTCCAATTTGAAGAAATCCCTATCTTTGGATTTACTAAGCGAGAGAAGAAAATCCCATCGTTTACAAATTTTCCATAAATCTGTGAACAATAGTATTGCTTTGCCTATCCCGTCTTATTATCAATTGTCTATTAGGAAAACTAGAAATTACTCGACGAATTCATTTATTCAACCACCTGTACATCATGACTACTACAAGTATAGTTTCTTTCCGAGAACTATAAGGGACTGGAACTGTTTATCACCTGGAACTAGATCACTTAATTATTCAGCTTT